AATATTTAGTTAATATTATTAACATTTAGTTAATAATATTAATATTTAGTGAATTATATTTTTTACCTGTAAACCAGCGGCACCAGGATCGACTCCTGTGTCTAATATGGCAATAGTAATGCCACGACCATCATATTCAGGATGTTTTTTCAAAAATGATGCAGATTCAGTTTCCTTTTAATATTTTATAATGCCAATTAATCAAAAGAAAAAAAAATGACATTATATATATATAACAAGAAAATTGGATTCGTACCTCCTTAGGAAGTAATCCATATGTAGGAAAATCGGGGATTGAATTTGGTAATTTATGTGACATTTGTTGAAGAGTTGCCCAGGGTAAATCTTTTTGAACAATTAATTAAAATCAGAAGAAGAGTGCATAAAATATTTAGATATCTTTACATGCAGTGTCTGCAATAGATAATAATATGCCAAATATGCCAGTTTGAATAACATGCAATTAAAATGTTGATTTTATGGTTCCTAACGTTGCCTTATATCGAAAATTTACAGCAAGGGCACTATATTTCATTAAATAATGATTACCTACCGTTTCTTGCTACCAATGACTGGCTGAAAATTGGGAATGTACAAAACCGATAAACTCCGGCTGAATATTTTCAAACTTAAATATTCCAATGAAAATTTACACTCACTCTTTTAAAGAATAAATTTTATAGATAAAAAAATGATCGCGTCGTCGATACGAAAATAATTTATGATAATTATTATTATTTGTAAAGATGTTAATACCGAAAGTATTACATTTATTGCGAACATTACAAATCCCAACACTGTTTCCTCGAAAGAATTGTAAAATCATGATTCACACACCTTAATAACAAGCAAAAAAAGATAGATGGATTATGGTTCTATCATCCTTGATCCAGATATTTATGCGTACCGGACTAAAATTTTAATTGGTTACACGTAGTACGTAAGCAACATTTGTGTAAAAAATCGCTGAATTTGGTTAAATTTGATAAAAAAAGATTGACTTTCTGTTTATGGAATAGCTGAATATACGTACGTACGTACGTACGTACGTACGTAGACATCTTCGTCATCGGAGTTAATATCGAATGAAAGGACTACCGTAAAACGCCGTATAAGGTACCCCCCTTGATTTGTACCGGGTACGTTTCAAGGTCATCAGATGCGGTATTT